GGGGCCAAAAGGAGCGGGCCGGAACAAGCGCCAAAGCCGAGGGTCACCAGGAACACTGAGAAGACCCGGGGATGGGGGCGAAAGGGGGCAAGCAGGAGCGGCTGAGAGAGGGGCGGCCACGGGAGGCCGAGAGGCAAACCGACGACGGACCGCAGGGGGGTCGGCGGTCAGGGGGGCACAAAGGGGGGGTGACGGCATCGAGCAGAGACACAACGCGGGCGGAAGGGGCGGCGAGCGGAAACGGGCGACAGGAAAAACAACGCTCCGGCGAGGAGGGAGCAGCCCACCAGGACAAGGGCGGGCACGGGCGCAGGGGCGCGCGAGGGCGCAAGGAGGCCCCAAAGCCGGGGGCAACCGGGAAGGAGGGCGGGACGCAACAAGGGGGGGCGCCAAAACCGAGGGCGCACGCGGGGAGGAGACAGCAGGGGACGACGAGGAGACGGAGGAGGCGAGGGGGAGGAGGAAGGAGGGGAACGAGCGCGGCGGGAGCGAGCCGCCGGCGGCAGGGGCGGAAGCGGGCAAGAGGAGGGAGCGGGGGACACGAGAAAGCGGGCGAGGAGAGAACGGGGGCGGCGGAGGGCCGCAGGGCGGGGCGCAAGCGACGAGGACAGGAAAGACAGCCGCACGAGGGCCGGTAGGACAAGACGGGAAGGGCCGGAGCCACGCCGGCGGCAGGCACCCAGCCGGCCGACACCCGCCGGAACGCCGGGCAGAGAAACCCGACAACAGGAGGGCCGGATGCGGAGGGTGGCGTGACGCCAGGACCGAACCAGCACCCGGGCGGAGCGCGCGGAGGCGGGGAACAGACGGGAGGGCAGGCCCACGCGCCAACGGAGGAGCAGGGGCCTGCGACTGCAAGCTCGGGCCGGCGGGGTAGGAAGAAGGGGAAGGGGGGGGAGAGGCCAAAGGGGGAGGGGAGAGCCCCAGGGGAGGGCAGAGGGCGAGGAGAGCGGAGCCCAGAGCCGGCGAAAGGTAGGGAAGGAGAAAAGAGAAAAACAGAGGAACAGGGGAGGAAAGAGAAGAAAGAGATAGAAGCCTGAAAAGCAAAGGGGGCGGGACGAAAAGGTACAAATGGGAAGAAGAAGGGAAGACGAGGACAGGGACGGCGCGAGACGCAAAGAAGAGAGCCCAGAAGAAGGGCGGGAAGAAAAGGAAGAGGGGAAGAAGGCCAGAAGGGGACGGGCGAGATGCAAGCGAGGGAGGAAGAAAGAAAGGAACAGCAAAGAGAGGGAAAGGGAAGCAAAGGGGACGTGACGTAAGGGAGAGATCGGGAGAGAGGAGGGAAAGAGCGCAAGGGTGAAAACGCACCAGCAATACAAGGGGTACTAGGCGGTGAAAAGGGAGAAGGCAAGGAAAGGAAGCGGCAAGGGAGGGCAGCACGGAGGGGAGCGGAGGTCAAGCAGCAAGTGAACAAGGGGAAGGGGTGAGAGGCGGAAGGGAGGAAGGGGGGCAGGAGGGCCAAGGTGAAGCAGAGGGAGATGCAGGCAAGGGAATGGGGCGAGGACGATGTGAAGGAAAGAGGGGAGAGGAGGGGGAAAGGCAGGGAAAGGGGGAGCCGGAGGAGGGGAGGAAGGCAGAGGGCGGCGATGAACAAGGGGGGGGGAGGCAGGCAGGAGGGGGGAAGCAGAGGAGATCAGGGATGGTGCAAGGGGTAGCACAAGGAGCGGGCGAGCAAGGCAAATGTGAAAGGGGGAGCAGGAGACAAGAAGGGGAAAGGGGGCAGGGAAGCAAGGGCACGGGGGGGCAGGGAGAGGGAAGGGCACGGGGGAAGCAAGGCCAAAGGAAGGGGGATGCCGGCAAGCGGGCCACGGGCGAGCCAAGGCAAGGAAGGGGAGCCGAGGGCAGAGAAAGGGAAGGGGGAGCGAGGGGCGAATCCAAGTGGAAAGGGGTGAGACCTAGGGGCAGAGAAATGGGAGAGAATGGGAAAGCGGGAGCCGAGGGCAGAGAAGGGAAAGAGGGGGAGAAGCGGGCAAAGGCGAAGCAAGCAAGGGGGGAGCCAAGGGGAAGGGAAAGGGACCAAGGGCAAGGGAGGAGGGGAGGCAAGGGGAGCAGAGGGGAAGGGAAAGGGGGAGCCAAGGCAAGGGGAGGAGGCGGAGGCCAAGGCAGAGGGGGCGACAAGGAAAAGAAGACAGGGGGAGCCAAGGGAAAGGGAGAGGAAAGGCAAAGAGAACGGGCTAAGGGCGAAAGGCACAGGGAGAAGGAAGGGGAGCACCAGTGAGGAGGGGGGAGCCCAGGGCAAGGTCAAAAGGCAAGGGCGGAGGGCAAGGACAAGGGAGAAAGGCAAAGGGGGGCCAAGGACAAGCCAAGGGAAAGGGGGGGGCAAGGACAAAGGAGAAAGGCAAAGGGGGGGGAAGGGCAAAGCCAGGGGGAAGGCGGAGAACACCCAGACGGGAGAAGGAAGAAGAGGAAGCAGAACGGACAGGGAAAAGAGGCGCACAAGGAAAAGACGAGGCGAACGAGGAGGGAGGAAAAGAAAGAGGAGGGGGAAGCCCAAAGAGACAAGGACCACGGCAGAGCGAAGCAGAGAAGCCAGGCGACACCAAAACGGAGACCCAGAGAGGGCCACGCAACGGGAAAACCAGAGGAAGAGCAGAGGAAGGGGGGGAGCGCAGGGACAGGGAGAGGAAACGCCAGCAAACGGCGAGCGGAGCGCGGGCGGACAGGGGGCAGAAGAGAAGAGAAGAGCGCGGACAAAAGAGACAAGAGGGCAAAAAGGAGAGCGGCGCGGGCCAACGGACAGAGGCGCAGACCAGCGAGAAAAGGAGGAAGAGAGGAAGACGGGAAGAAGAGGAAGAAACGAGAGCAAAGAGGAGCAGAAAGAGCGAAGCAGCAAGGAGCGAAGAGAGCAAGAAGCGAAAGAGCGAAAAGCGGCAAGGGGGAGAAAAAGAACGCAGAGAGCGGCAAGAGAAAAAGAGGCGGAGAGGGCGGAAACAGAGCAAAGCAGAGCAAAAAGAGCAAGGGCGGGACGGGAGAGAGGCAAAGAGAGAAAACACGCAGAGCGAGCAAGAGAAAGCAGGCCAGAGGGGGAGCGGCAGCAAAGAGACCGGCGCAGCAGGGAAGAGCAGCGACAGAGGCGCAGAAGGGGGAAGCAAGACAACACGGGGGGGGAGCAAAACAAGAGAAGGGAGGAAAGGAGCACGGAGCGGGGAAAGCCGGGAGGGGCACACGGAGCGGGGAGAGCCGAAGCAGCAGGGGCGGAGGCACGGGGCGGGAGGGGGGGGGCGGGGGGAGCAAAGCACCAGAGCACGGGAGACGGGGCGACCGGAGGGGGGAAGACGGGGGGAAAGGAACGCGGAGGCGGGAAAGCCGGGGAGAGGAGCGCGGCGACGGGAAACCCGAAGCAGCAGGGGGGGGCACGGGGCGGGAGGAGGGCGGGCGGGGGAGCAAAGCACGAGAGCACGGAAAGGCAGGGGAGCGGGGAACCAAGGAGGGGGAGAGAGAGGGAAGGGGCGCGGGGAGAAAAGAGCAAGGGGAGGAGGAGGAGGACACCACCGCGCGAACCACGAGAAGGGCGGGGGGCGGGACGGCGGGCGGGACAGACGCGCGGGACAGAGGCGCGCGCACGAAGAGAGACGGCGCACACAAGCGCACACACACGGGAGGGGAGGGAGGGCCGCGGGGCACCAGACGCGAACAAGCGAGGGAAGAGGGGGGGGAGCGCGGGCGGAGCAAGGGGGGGCGGGGCGAAAAAGGGGGAAAGGCGAGGCACCCCCCCCCCCCCCCCGCGAGACGGGCACCGACCGCGGGGGGGACCAACAAGGGGGAGCAGAGCCGGGAGCCGAGGGAGGCAGGGGGACCAACCGGGGGAGGAAACACGGGGCCCAACGGGGGAACGGGGGGACGGCGAGGCGGAGCCAGGCGACAAAGGGGGGGAAGGGGAGGAAGCGGGCAGAGCGCGCGGGAGGAGGAGGAAGAAAGAGGGAGCGCAAAAGCGAGGAGGCGCGCGGGAGAAAGGGAGGAGGGGAAAGGGCGGAGGCAGGGACACGGAGCGGCGGACACGAGGAAAGGGGGGAAGGGAGGGCCACGGGCCCGAGAGAAAGAGGAAAAGCAAGACGGCGGGGGAGAGCCCCGGAGGCGCCACAGGACGGACAAAAGCCAAAACCGGAAGGGACAGCGGACGAGAGAACGCGGAAGAAGCGGGACAAGAGGGCCAAGGAGAGGCGAGGCAAAGCCGGGGAGGAGACAAGAGGGCCGAAGAGCCGAAAGGGGGCCACGGCCAAAGAAAGAGGGGAAACGCGCAGCAAGAGGGGCGAAGGAGAGGAACAAGAAAAAGACAAGAAGCGCACAAGCGCCAGGAAGAAGGGCGAAGAGGGCAAAAGGCGCGCAAAGGAAAGGGGGGCAGACAGGGAAGCGCGAAGGAGCAAAGGGCGGGGAGAGAGGAGGGAGCGGGGCAAAAAGAGGAGCCAAAAAGAAAGGAAGCGCAAAAGCCGACGAGGCGGACCAGCGGCAGGGGAGAGGAAGGGGACGGCGAGGCGCGAGCACCGAGAGCGAAGAAGGGGGGCAACAGACAAAGGAGGGAGGGAGCGAAAAGCAGAGGAGGGCGAAAGGAAGGCCAAAGAGGAGGAGGGGCAGGAAGCGCGAAAGGCGGCGCGAAGGGCCGAACAACCGGCAACCGCCAGGGCAGGAGAAAAGAAGGGGGAGGGAGGACGGACGAACAAGGGGCGCGGGGGGCAAAAAGGGAGAAGGGGAGGCGAAAAGGAGACAACAAAAAGGCGGCGCGGGGAAAAGGCAGCGCGCGCAGAACACAAGAAGAAAAAGGCGAAGAAAAGAAGGAGGGGGCGACAAGGGCCGCAAACCCGGACAGGGGAAAAGAAAGGGCCGGAGCCGAGCGGGAGCAAGGAGCAAGGCAAAAAGGGGGAAGCGACGCCGAACAAAGCCGAAAGCAAAAGGGGCAAGCGCGACAAAAGAAAAGCGCGCGGGGCAACGAACCAAACGAAAAGGAGGAGGCGGAGGAGGCAGCAGCAAGCGAGGAAAGGGCAGAGGCGGAGGAGGAGACGGCGCGAAGAGGCAAGGCAAGGGAGGGGAGGACAAGGGAAGAGGGGCGGAGGGCGCGGGAAGCAGAGGAAGAAGAGGGAAGGCGAAGGCGGGCAAGGCGGGGAAGGCGCGGGGGCGCGGGAAGCGAGGGACAAGCGAAGGCGAGAAGGGCAAGAGAGGAGGCGCACGCAGCCGCAACGCAAGGAGCGCAAGAAGAGGCGAAGGCGGGAAAAAGAAGAAAGGAAGAAAAAAGGGCAAGAGGCGGGACGGGAAGGGAGGAAAGGGAAGAAGGAAAAGAGGCAGCGGCAAGAAGAGGGGAAAGCAAGAGAGGGGAGAGAACAGAAGCGGAGAGCGACGAGGGCGACGGGCACGAAGGCGGCGAAAAGGAGAGAGAAAAGGGGGAGCAGGCAAAAGCCAGCAGGAGAGAGAACCGGAAGGGGGAGGACGCCACAGGGGCGCAAACCCCGCAAAAGCGGACGAAGGCGACGACGACGGGAAAGAAGAAAGGGCAAGGGGGAAAAGGGGGAAAAGGCAGAAGAGCACGAGGAGACAAGGACGGGGCGAGCAAGCAAACGCAAAGGGGAAGGGGGAAAGGCCGAAACAAGGGAGACGACGGCAAAGCAACAAAAAGGCGACAAGCAAAGAGAGGCCAAAGAGGCAAGGGCAAAAAGAGGGCAGAGAAAAGAGGGAAGCGGGGCGAGAAAGAAAGGGGGGAGAGGGAGCCCACGCAAAAAGAGGGGGGGGCAAGAGAGGGAAGCGGGGAGAGACCAAAGCAACCAGGCGCGGCCCAGGGGCCAAAAGAGAAAAAGAAGGGGCAAAACCCGGCGCCAAAAAGAGGGGCGAAGGGAGGGAGGAGGAGCGGGGCGCGAAAGGGGGACAAAGCGCCGCAGCGGAAGGCAAGAAGAGCAAGGGGGGGGGGGGACCAAAAAGCACGAACAGGAAAGGACCCAAGCAAGGAGGGGGACCGAAAGGAAGGAAGCGGGGGGCAGGAGGGGGGGACAGCGAGAGGGGGGGCGCACGCCACAGGACGAGAAAGAAAGCAGAGCGAGGGAAGGGCAAAGAAAGCGAGGGACCAAAAGGGAGAGGCGGAGGAAAGCAAAAGGAGGGAAGGACAAAAGGAGGGGCACGAGCAAGAAAAAGGGGGGGAAGAGGGAAGAGGGGCGGGCGGGGAAGGAGGAAAAGGGAAGGGGGGAGCACGAGGCAAGGGGGGAGAAAGGCGAGCGGGGAGAAGGGGCGAAAGAGAAGGGCCGAAGCAAAAAGGAGCGCACAAAGGAGAGGGGGAGCGGGAAAACGGCGAAAGAACAGGGAGAGGGGGGAGGGGAGCACAAGCAAAGAGGCAGGGGGCGGAAGGGCCAGAAAGGCGAAGGAAGCGAAGGGGGAAGGGCACAGAAAGCGCAACCACGGAAACGGCAAGACCAGCAAGCAGCGGGCAAAGAAGAAGCGAGGAGAAGGCGGGCCAGAGAGGAGCGGCAAGAAGGACCAAGGGGGGGAGGCAGGCCAACGCGGAAAGCAAAGCAAAGCAGCAGGCAAAGCAAAGACACACGAGGCAACGGCAAGACCGCGAAGCGGACGACAGAGGGACGGAGGGGGACCGGGGGAGCCAAGAAGGGGAAGGGGGAAGAAAGAGACGCGCGGGGGGGGGAGGAGGGGGCCAGGGACACGGGGACCGGGGGCGCAAGAAGAAAAAGGAAGGGGAGCAAGGGCGACCGAAGCGGGGGAAGCAACGACAAAAGGAGAAAGAAGGGCAAAGAGCAAAAAGACGAACGGAGCGCGGAACCGAGGGCGGGAAGGGAGGGAGACAAGCGGGGGCAAGGCACAGGGAAGGGCGCAGCAAGGAGCGGCCGCAAGAACACCGCAACAAAACGGGGGGGCCGAAAGAAGAAACCGGACGCGCAAAGAAGCCGCACGAGGGAGGAGGAGGGCGGCCGGGCGCCCGAAACGAGAGGGGGCGGAAGCGAGCAACACGGCGGGGACACGCAAAAGCGAAGCAGGAGCCAGAAGCAGGACAAGAAGACGCCAGAGGAGCGAGAGAAAGGGAGAAAACCAAAGAGGGGGAGGGCAGAGGGGGGAGGCAAAGGGGGAGGCAGAGGAAGGAGAAAGGGCAGCGAAAAGCGGGGGAGGAGCGGGCAGAGGAAGGAAGGGGGCGAGGAGAGGCAGCGACCAGCAAGGCGGGCAGAGGGCGGAAGAAAAGAGCAAGGGGGGGGGAAGAAGCCAGACACGGGGGAGGGGAGGAAAAAGCACAGAGCAAAAAGGAGCGCGCGGGACGAAGAAAGGGCACAAAAGGGGAACAAGGGGCAGAGGGAGGGGGGGAGACGAAGGAGACGGGGGAAGAGGAGGGGGGGCAGGGAAGGGAGGAGGGGGAAAGGAAGGCGCGAGAAAAGCCCAGCCCGCAGCCAGAAGAAGGGGGAAAGGCGGGAAAGAAGAAGGGGGGAGGGAGGCCGCACGGGGGAAGGGAGAGGCAGGACAAGGGGGGGAGCCAAGGAAGGAGCAAAGGGCAGGGGAGGGGGGAAGCAAGGGCAAGACAAGGAAAGGGAGGAAAGGCGAACCAACACGGCCAAGGCACAACAAAGGGAGCCACCCAGGACCAGGCACCCAGGGCAACCAGAGGGAAGAGGGCGCAAAAAGCACCCGCCAGAAGGAAGGAGGGGAAGAGCCAGGAAGGCGGGAAAACAAGAGCAGCGACCAGGGAAGCAGGGGGCACGGGGGAGCGAGCGCAGAGGGAACCAAAAGAAAGGGACGAAGCGCGCAAGGAGCCGGAGGGGAGAAAGGCGAGGCAAGAGGAGCGCGAGCAAGGCAAAAGAAAGGAGGGGGGGAACGGGGCCAAGACCGGCCGAACCACAAGGGGGAGGAACCAAAGGGGGCGGCCGGAACAAAGCAAACGAAGAAGGCGGGAGGGGAGGAAGAAAGCAAGGCGCGGGGCAAAAGGAGACGCGCAAGAAGAAGGAAGAGAGGGGGAGGAAACCGGGGCACCGGGGGCCGACGGGAAGCAAGCAGAAGGGCCGAGCCGACGCCGCACACAAAGAGGGCACCGGGGAGCAAAGGGACGGGAAAAGCGCAGGCGGGAAGGGGCGACGCGAAGAAGAAGGGGAGGGCGAACAACCCCCAGGGGGGGAGGGAAAAGGCGAAGGGGAGAAAGGCGACAAACGGAAAAAGGCAGGGGAGGGGGGGAAACAAGCACCGAGAGCGGGGGAGGAGACGGGGGCAAGGGGCGGGAGAAGCGGGGGAGGCACCAAAGGCCGGGGGGACAAAACGCGAGGGAGAAGGCAAGAGGGGGAGCAGAGGGAGGAGGGCAAAGAGAGGGGGAGGAGAGGAGGGGGGAAGCACGAACAAGGCGGGGGGGAGAAAGGGGCGAAGCGGAGGCAGAAGAAAGGCGAAAGGAGCAGGAGGGGGGAAGGGAAGGACGGCGGGGGCGGACAAGGCAAACAACGGAAAGAAGGAGGAGGCAGCAAGCAAGCAAAGGACACCCGCGACGGGAGAAAGAAGGGGGGCCGGGAGGGAAAAGCAGCGAGCAAAAGGCCAAGGAGCACAGCAAGAAGGCGAGACAAAGAGGAAGAGGGAAAGGAGGGCGAGCAAACAAAAGAGAGAGGAAGGAGGGGGGCACGGCGAGAGCGGACGGCAAGCAGGCCGGACAGGGCGGAGGCGGGGGGAGGGGGGGCAAGAGGCCAAGCAAAGCCAAAAGAAAGCCACCGCACCGCAACAAAGAAGAGCAGACGAGAGCGGAAAGGCACAAGCAAGGGGGGAGGGGGGAGCCAAAAGGGACAGAGGGGACGCGAACGGGGGGGCAGAGGCGGAGGGGCAGGGGGCAAAAGAGACAGAAAAAGCACGGCCGGGACAGGCCAGGGCGGGGGGGGAAGGCGGGGGCGGGGGGCAGCAAAAAGCAAAAGGCCAGCGCAACGAGGACCGCCGAGGCCGAAGAGAGGGCGGCAGGAAGGGGGGGGCGCAAAGGGGGGGAGGAAGCAACAAGGGAAGGAGGACGGAGGGAAGGGGGAGGACGGGAGGAGGGAGGGGAGAAGACGAGGGCAAGCGCGAGCACGCACAAGCCGGGGCGGCACGCAAGAACCAAACAGAGCGACAGGCGACAGCAGGGAGAAGGGAGCACGGGGAAAAGAAAAAGCGGAAGAGCGAAGAGAGCCCGACGGAAAACCAAGGGGCGGAGAGGCGCACGAAGCCGGGAGGCGAAACGAGAGGGCGACCGGAAGGCACGAGGGGGAAGGAGCGAAAGGAGCGAAGGAGCACGGAACGGAAGCGCGCGAGGGAAAGGGAGACGGGGGCGCAAAAGAAGGGGGGACGGGGAGAAAGGGGGGAGGGGGGAGGCAGGGGGGAGGCGAAAGAGGGAGGGGAGAAAAGGGCAAGAGGGGGAGGAAGGGAGGGGGGAGGGGCAGGGGGAGGGAACGGGAGAGCAGAGGCCAGGCAAAGGAAGGGGAGAAAAGGGGCAAGGCGGGAGGGAGGGGAGAAGGGGGGAAAAGGGCAGGGGGAAGGGGGAAGCAGGGGGGAGGAGGGGGGCAGGGGGCGGGAAAGGAACGAACGGGGGGCAGGAACAAGGGGCGCGAAAAAGGAGGGACCAGGGGGAGGGGAAGAGAGAGGGGCGAGGGGCAAAGGGAGGGAAGGGGAGGGGAGGGGGGGCGGAGAGAGGCAGGAGAGGGAGAGAAGGGCGAGAAAAGGGGGAGAAAGCGAGAAAGGAGGGGGGGAGGGGCGAAAAGAGGGGGAAGCGGAGGAAGAGGGGGAGAGAAAGGGGGGCGAAGGAGAAAGGAGGAAGAGGGGGGAAGGGGGGAAGGGCCAAAGGAGAGGGAGGGGAAGGAGGAAGGCCGGGAGAGGGGGGAAGAGGGGGAGGGGGGAGGAAGGAGGGGGGGAGGAAGGGGGCGACGAACGAGAGGGGGAGGGGAGGAGAGGGGGGGACACGAGGGGAGAAGGAAAGCAGGAGAGAAAGGAGGAAAAGGAGAGGGGAAGGGGGCAGCAAACCGCCACCCAGAAACGCCGACCCGGGCGAAACCGCCACCCAACCGAAACCGCCCCCCAGAAGCCGCGCCGAAGCAAAGCGGGCCAAACAGAGGACCCGCGCGCGCGCAAAGCGACACCCCCAGCGCGCCGGGCAGAAAAGCGACGCGCGAAGCGAGCCCCACAAACAAAGCGCAAGGAGAGCAGAACCCAAAGCCGGCCGAAGGGGCGCGGCAAAGCGCCACCCGCGACACCGGACGGGCAGGGGGGAGGGCGAAAGAGGGGGGAGCAGGAAAGGCGCGGGGCGGCGCAGGAGGACAGGGGCGCGGGCCGCGGAACACGCGCGAGCAGAGGACGCAGCGACCCGAAACGCACCCAAGCGACACACCGCAACCAAAGGGGACAAGGGAGAAGGCGCAGCGCGCGCGCGGAAAGGCGAAAAACCCCGGCGAGGCAGCCGCCGCAGAGAAACCCCGCACGGAGAGCGCAAAAACGCGGGCAAGACCGGCAGAAGAGCAGAAAACGCGCGCGCAAAGGAGCGCGCCGCGAGCAAGCGAGCGGAGCAGCAGGGCCCAAGCGGGAAGAAAGCAAAGGGAGCCGAGGGCGGCCCGCGCGCAACAAGGGACGAAGGGGAGGGGGCGCAAGCCGGAGGGGGGCAGACGAGGGGCGACCAACAAGGACACGGCCGAGAAAAGGCGGCAAGCGGGAAAAGACGGGGGACGGGGGAGGGCGGCACCGACAACGACGGGGGAACCGGGGAAGAAGAGGGAGCCGAAGGGGAGCGACAGGCAGGCGGGGAAAAGGACGCGAGAAAAGCGAGAGGGGGAGGAGCAGAAGGGGCGAGCACGGAAGAGGACAGACACAAGGGCGGCAACGGGCCGGAAGCGCAGAGAAGGCCAGAAGCGCACAGCGAGGGGGGGCAAAAGGGGGGAACGGAGAGGCGGGGGCCGACGGCGCCAAGGGGCGCGGAGGGAGCCGCGCAGAAGAAGGGAGGGAAGGGGAAGAGGAGAGGGGGGGGACAGGAGGGACAAGAGGCGGGAACACAAACGGGGAAGGACGGAAGAGGGGACCGCGGCAACAGGGGGCCGGAGGGACGGAAGCAGGAAAGGAAGAAAAGGCAAAGGGGCAAAAGGGAGCGACAGGAAGAGGGGGAGGGGGGGCAGGCGGCCAAACCAAGGAAGAAACCGGCGGGAGGGGACCGAGGCGAGCAAAAGGGGGAGAGGGGCGCAGCAGGGGAGAACGGCGAAGGAAGAAGACAAGGCCAAGGAGAAAACACAAAAAGAGGGGAAGGGACAGAGCGCGCGGCAGAAAAGGCAGGCCGAAGGGGGGAAAAAGGGCAAGCCAGAGAAGAGGACAAGAAGGGGGGAGGGCGACAAGGGCAAAAACACCGCAGAGGGCCAGACCGAGAAACAGCAAAGCAAGCGCAACCGCAAGGAAGCAAAGGGGAGCAAGCAAGCGAGCAGGAAGAGAGCAAGAAGCCAGCAGGACGGCGAGGGCAGGGGGGCCGAGCAAAGAGGCCGAACCAAACGGGGGGCCGAAGGAGGGGAGGAGACGACAAGAAGGGAAGGGGCAGGAGGGGAGGGGCAAAGGGCGAAGGAGCGACAAAGAAGACGCGCGAGGCAAGCGGCAGCCGAAGGAAGGGCAGGACCGAGAGGGGGGACGCAGCGCGCAGGCAAGAGGAGCCGGAGCGGGGAAAGAAGGGAGAAGGGGGCAAACGGGGAGAGAAGGGAAACGGGAAAGAGAGCAGGCGGGCAGGGCAAAAAGCACCCCAGAGGGGAGACGGAGGGAAGAGGGGGCCGGGGAAGGGGGCGGAACGAACGGGAGGCGAGAGGCACGCAACAGGGAGGGAAAGCAAGGGGAGCACAGGAAGCGACACGAGAAGGCAGCCAGACAAAAAGGAAAAGCACCAAGAAAAGGAGGCAGGACGGCGCAAGACCGGGGAGCCGAACAAGAGAGACAGAAGGAAAGGGCACGGCAGGGAGCGCGACAAAGGGCAGGGGAGGACACACAGCAGGAGCCAGGGAACACAGCGCGGGGGGAGAAGGAAGGGGGGAGGAAAGAACGGAAGGGACGGCACGCAGGGAGGGACCAAGCAGAAGCACGGAAAAGCAGAGGGACAGACCGGGGAAAGGCCAGGAGGCGGCGGGAGGGAGAGCGGAGGGACCCCCACACCAAGGAAGGGGAAGCGGGAGGGCAAGGAACAACGGGGGGGAGCCAAGGAAGAACAAGGGGCAGAAGAAAGAAGAAGAGAGAGACCAGGGGAAGGGGCAGGAGAAGGGGCGACGGAGAGGAGACGGCAAAGCACAGAGGAGGGAGCCAGGGGAGGGCCGGGACACCAGACCGAGGCGACCAGGCCGACCAGGGACCCGGGGCGAGAAAAGGAAGAGGAGGGGCAGACAACGACACGAGAACAGAAGGCGGAGAAGAAGAAAGGGGGGAGCGCAAGCAAGAAGCCGAAGCACCGGAAGAAGAAGGGAGGCAACGGAGGGAGACAGGGGGCGCACAGAGCCGAAGAGAAGGCCAGGCGGAGCCCCGCAAAACGGGGGGCAGAGGAAGGAGCAAGAAGGAGGGCAGAGGGGCAGCCGGAGGGGCCAAAGGGGCCGAAGCCAGGGAGGGGGGGGGCAAACAAGGGGAGAAAAAGGGGGGGAACAAAACCAAAAGCGAGAACAACAACACACGGAGACACGAGGCAAGCGGAAGGAAGGAAGGGAGCAGCAAAAGAGGGGGAAGACGCCAGAGGGACAAAGCAGAAAGAAGGGGAAAGGAGAAGGGACAAAAGGCGGACGGGAAGGGAGGCAGCGCAGGAAGAAGGAACGGGAAGCAGCGGAAAAGAGGACACAACGAACGGCACGGGAGACAAGAGCAAAGCAAGGCAAGACCAAGAAAGCCGAAGCAACAAACGGGAAGCGGAACGCGCAGGGACAACAAACAAGCGGGACAACGGGCAAACCGGGGCCAGGGAAACACACAACAGGGGGGAAACGGGGAAGGCAAACCAAGACCGAGAGGGGAAGACCCGGGCAGGGGGGGGGAGAACGCCAAAAGGGGGGAAGAAAGGCGCAGGCACGGGGCGGGGCAACAACAAGAAGGGAGGCGGGGAAGCCAACAACAGCCAGGAAGGGCGACGCAAGGGAGAGGCCGAAGCCGCGGACAAGCCGCACAAGGACCAGCGCAGAGGGGGGGGCGCAGGGCGCGAAGCCGAGGCGGGGGACGAGGACAGCGAAAGGGGGCGGAACAGCGGGGCGGGGGGAAGGCGCGAAGGGGACCGCCACGCAGACAACAAGAGGGACGAAGGAAAAGCGACCAAGCAGGAGCAAGAAAGGGCCGGCAGCCGAGCAAGCCCAAGGGAGCGCGGAGAAGAAGAAAGAAGAAGAAGGCAAAAGGAAAAGAACCGAGAGGGGGGAGGAACGAAGAGAGGGCACCGGAAAGAGGGGCAGGAAGCGGGGAGAAGAAAGAAGCGGCGAAGAAGGGGGCGGAGGGGGGGAAAACGGAGGGCGGCCGGGCAACAAGAGCAAAGAAGCGGGGGACAGGACAGGGCCGGACAGCGGACAAAGAAAGGGCAGAAGGCAAAGGGCAAAGAGGAGGGCGGCAAGCGCAGAGAACAGGGCAAGGAAAGGGGGAAGAAAGACGGGGGGGGAAGAAACCCAGAAGGGAAGCGGAAAAGGCGCGGAAGCGGAGAGGCGCGAGGGGCGAACCGCGGGGGCGGGGGGCGCGAGAAAGGCGAAAGAGAGCAAGAAGAAGGGCCCAGGGGCGAGGGGGAGGCGGGAAGGGAGGGGGGAAGGGAAGGAGACGGGCGGGAAGGAAAAGACAAGAAAGAGGGCAAACGCACGACAAAAGGAAAAAGGGAGGAGGAGCAAAAGAAAAAGAAGGCAAGAGGCGGGGAGGAGCGGGGCGAAAAAGGGAAGGCACAAGGGGCGGGGAGGGGGGCGAGAAAACCAGGGGGAAACGCAGCGGGGCGGGGGCAAAGAAAAGGGAGCAAAAAGAGGAGGGGGCAAAGACGGAAAGCCAAGGACGGAGGAGAGGGGGGGCAGGAGCAAAAGGGGGGAAAGGGGGAGGAAGAAAGGGGAAGGGGGGGAGAGGCCAAAGGGGAGGGGGAGAGCCCCCAAGGGGAGGGCAGAGGGCGAGGAGAGGCGGAGACCAGGAGCGGGAAAGGAGGGAAGGAGGAAAAGAGAAAAACAGAGGAAGAGGGAGGAAAAGAGAAGAAGAAGAGAGAAAGCCGAAAAGCAAGAAGGGGGCGGGAGAAAAGGACAAAGGGAAGAAGAAGAGGAAGGAGAGAAGAGGCACGGCAAGGCGACGCAAAGAAGAGAGCCAGAAGAAGGGGCGGGAAGAAAAGGAAGAGGGGAAGAAGGCAGGAAAGGGACGGGGAGAGCAAGCAGCGAGGGAAAGAAAGAAGGACAGCAAAGAGGAGGGGAGAGGGAAGCAAAAGGGGACGGACGAAGGGGAGGAGGCGGGAGAGAGGAGGCGAAAGGGCGCAAGGGCGAAAACGCACCAGCAACAAGGGGACAAGGGAAAAGGGAGAAGGCAAAGGAAAGGAAGCGGAGGGAGGGGGCGCGAGGGGAGCGGGGCGCAGGACAAGGGGAAGGGGAAGCAAGGGCACGGGGGGGCAAGGGAGAGGCAAGGGCACGGGGGAGCCGAAGGCAAGAAGGGAAAGGGGGAGCCGAGGGCAGAGAAAGGAAAGGGGGAGCAAGGGCAAGGAAGCAAGGGAAAGGGGGAGCGAGGGCAGAAGCAAGGGAAGGGGAGCAAGGGAGGAAGGGAAGGGCAAGGCAGAAGAGGGGAGCCAAGGGAGAAGGGAAAGGGGAGCAAGGGAGGGGAGAGGCAAGGCAAAGGGGGAGCCAAGGGAGCAAGGGAGAAGGGAAGGGGAGCAAGGCAAGGGAGGGGGAGGAGGGGAGGCAAGGCAAAGGGGGGACCGAGGCAAAGAAGACAGGGAGAGCAAAGGGAAGGGAGAGGAAAGGCAAGACAGGAGAAGGCGGGGAGCCAAGGGCGAAGGCAAAGGCAACAAGGCAAAGGGGAAGCAAGGGAAAGCACCAGGAGAGGGGGGAGCCAAGGGCAAGGCAAAGGCAAGGGGGAGCCAAGGACAAGGGAGAAAGGCAAAGGGGGGGCCAAGGACAAGCCAAGGGAAAGGGGGGGGCAAGGACAAAGGAGAAAGGCAAAGGGGGGGGAAGGGCAAAGCCAGGGGGAAGGCGGAGAACACCCAGACGGGAGAAGGAAGAAGAGGAAGCAGAACGGACAGGGAAAAGAGGCGCACAAGGAAAAAGACGAGGCGAACGAGGAGGGGAGGAAAGAAAGAGAGGGGGAAAGCCCAAAGAGACAAGGACCACGGCAGAGCGAAGCAGAGAAGCCAGGCGACACCAAAACGGAGACCCAGAGAGGGCCACGCAACGGGAAAACCAGAGGAAGAGCAGAGGAAGGGGGGGAGCGCAGGGACAGGGAGAGGAAGACGCCAGCAACGGCGAGCGGAGCGCGGGCGGACAGGGGGCCAGAAGAGAAGAGAAGAGCGCGGACAAAAGAGACAAGAGGGCAAAAAGGAGAGCGGCGCGGGCCAACGGACAGAGGCGCAGGACCAGCGAGAAAAGGAGGAAGAGAGGAAGACGGGAAGAGCAGGAAGAACGACGAACAAGAGAGCAGAAAAGGCGAAGCAGCAAGGAGCGAAGAGAGCAAGAAGCGGAAAGAGCAGAGAGCAAAAGGCAGACAGAGCAGACCAAAAGCGGCAAGGGAGGGAGAAAGAAAAAGAACGCAGAGAGCGGCAAAGAGAAAAGAGGCGGAGAGGGCGGAAACAGAGCAAAAGCAGAGCAAAAGAGCAAGGGCGGGACGGGAGAGAGGCAAAGAGAGAAAACACGCAGAGCGAGCAAGAGAAAGCAGGCCAGAGGGGGAGCGGCAGCAAAGAGACCGGCGCAGCAGGGAAGAGCAGCGACAGAGGCGCAGAAGGGGGAAGCAAGACAACACGGGGGGGGAGCAAAACAAGAGAAGGGAGGAAAGGAGCACGGAGCGGGGAAAGCCGGGAGGGGCACACGGAGCGGGGAGAGCCGAAGCAGCAGGGGCGGAGGCACGGGGCGGGAGGGGGGGGGCGGGGGGAGCAAAGCACCAGAGCACGGGAGACGGGGCGACCGGAGGGGGGAAGACGGGGGGAAAGGAACGCGGAGGCGGGAAAGCCGGGGAGAGGAGCGCGGCGACGGGAAACCCGAAGCAGCAGGGGGGGGCACGGGGCGGGAGGAGGGCGGGCGGGGGGAGCAAAGCACGAGAGCACGGAAAGGCAGGGGAGCGGGGAACCAAGGAGGGGGAGAGAGAGGGAAGGGCGCGGGGAGAAAGAGCAAGGGGAGGAGGAGGAGGACACCACCGCGCGAACCACGAGAAGGGGCGGGGGGCGGGACGGCGGGCGGGACGGACCGCGCGGGACAGAGGCGCGCGACACGAGAGAGACGGCGCACACAAGCGCACACACACGGGAGGGGGAGGGAGGGCCGCGGGGCACCAGACGCGAACAAGCGAGGGAAGAGGGGGGGGGAGCGCGGGCGGAGCAAGGGGGGGCGGGGCGAAAAAGGGGGAAAGGCGAGGCACCCCCCCCCCCCCCCGCGAGACGGGCACCGGACCGCGGGGGGGACAATCAGGGTGGTGCGGCGGAACGACGTGGGGGGGACCCGGGGGAGAAGCAGGCCGAGTTGGGGTAGGGCAAATGCTGAGCCGGGGGGGGGGGGGACGGCGGAATCGGGGAGGAGAAACTGGGGGAGGCAGCGGGGGGGGGGGCGACTGCCGGAGCCAGGCCGGGAGGAGGAGGGTGCAGAGCGGCGGGTGCGTGGAGCCGTTGGAGTGATGCCGGGTGGGGGTGGGGAGGGCGGGGGGGGGCGGACGGGATTGTCACGAGGAGGGGGAGGCGAACACCGAGGCACCAAGGGAGGGCAGGTGGGCTCTGGGGGGGCCAGGACGGATGAGGGGGGGACCGGTGGGGGCTAGTGGGCTACGGAGGGGGGGAGATGACGTGGGGGCGGGCGAGCGCTAGCAGGGGGGGGGGAACGAGTACCTCGCGGGGGACGAGAAAGGGGGGGGCGGGGGGGGGGGGCGGGGGGGGGGGAACAACGCGGCCCAGGAGGGAAACAGGGGGGCGAAGTCAAGGACAGGTGGGCGGCTGAGGGAAAGGGGGGTGTAACGAGAGGAAGGGGGGGGAGCTCAGAAGCGGGATCGGCGGCAGAAGGCAAGGAGAGGATACGCGGGGAGGGGGGAGGCATTAGGGGGGGGGATGCCGGGGGGGGGAGGGGGGGGGAGGGGGGGCACAATCAAGGGGCGGGGCGGGGCGGAGGGGGGCAAGGACCGGTAGGTGAGGGGGGACGGGCGTAGGAACGGGGGAGGAGAGGGCAAGGAGATCCAGGTGAGAGGCATGGAGAGTCGGAGGGGGGCGTGGGAGGCGGGGGGGGGCCGGGGGGGCCGGGAGGGGGGAGGGGGGGACGATGGACGCGGTGGGGACGGAGGAGATGGAGGCCGGGGCGAAAGGCGGGTACAAAACGGAGAGCGGGCGAGGGAGGATGGGGCACGTGGAGGGGGAGGACCTGGCAGTAGGCGCGACCGGGCGGCTGGCGGCCCAGGGAGAGGGCGGCAGGGGAGCTGGAGCGAGGGGGGCGCGGTGGGAGGGCGGGAGTTGGGATGGCCGCCGGAGAGGGTGGGCCGTGGGAGCCAAGGGAGGACGTGGACGCGGGGAGGGGGGGGGAGAGGGGAAAGGCCAGAGGGGCCGAGGCTGGGCACCCGGGGCGGGGAGCCGTGCAGAGCACCGAGAGGGAGGGGAGTAGAGGGCCGCGGGCAGCGGCCGGGGGGGAGGGGGGGGGGGAGATGAGCGGCAGGTAAGGCGGAAATAGAGGGGAGGGGGGGGGGGACAGCGTGCGAGCGCCATAAAGACAACAGAAAGGAATGGGCACAATGCAGCAGGGGGACCCGGGAGGCAAACAACGAGAAGCAAAAGATAACATACAAAACGAAATGGGAATACCGGGGTTTGGCGCCAAGAGCGCCACCGGGAAGTGCAGGGGCGAGAGGGGGACGGGCTAGGCAGCCTGCGGCGAAAGGGGGGGCGGGATGGCCGGAGGCTGACCCAAGGACACGGGCCGGAGGTCCCACCAGGGGGTAATGCGGTGGCGAGGGCGCGTGGAGAACCATCCGTAAGCAAGCAGGGGCGGGGGGCAAGGGGGAAGGGTGCAGCAACAGGGCTCGCCAGGAGCCTGAAAGAGGAGCGGGGCCCGGCCCCACGGCAAAGAGGCACAACCAAGGAGCGAAAAAGGGGATGCGGAGAGCAACGACATCCGGCGTCAAGCGGGTGCCACAGCAAGACAGAAATGCAACCGGGACAATGAGGGGGCGACCGGGACAAGCACGGTGGCAACACACGCCGGAGAACGGGGGGCCGCGGCGAATGCGCACAATAAGGGGCGGTGGAGGACGAGACAAGGAAAGGCAATCGGCGCAGATAGAGGGACTGGACAGGAGGGGGACGGAGGCCGCCCTAAAGCGGCGAAGGCAGCCGGAATAAACGCAAGCGCAGACACGACATGGCACTGAAAACCACCTAAGCAGCGGCTGGCGGGGAGCCCTGTGGGTGGAGAGCCGTGGGCCGGGGAAGCCAAGTGCTGAGGGGAGCAGAGGCGCGAGCAGAGTCAAAGCCGCAGGAACCTGCCAGGCGCGGGGGGGAGGAGAGGGGGGCAGCAGAAGAGGGGCCAGGGAGAGGCACGGGCATAGGAGAGCAAACCGGAGCGGCCGGGGGGGGAGCGGGGAACGGGCAAGGGCGGGGGCCGGCCGAGGGCCTGGCCGAGGGCACAAGAGGGGGCGGGCGGGCGGTCGGCGCAAGAGGGGACAAGTAGGGAAGCGGGGGGGGGGACGGACGGGGGGATGGGCCAGGGCAGCGGGCGGGGCCGGGCAGGGCCGGCACAACTGGCACTGACAGGCAGCGGGGGGGGGGGGCGGGGGACGTGCCATAGGGGCCAGCCGGCGGGCTGAAGCAACCAGAAAGGGGAGAAGGGGGCAAGGAAGCGGTAGATGCGGGGGGCACCTGCGGCGAGCGCGGGCCGAGCGCGGGGGGAGTGGCGGGGGAGGAGCCGGGAGCGCCGCGGGAAATCCAAGATGGACCGGAGGAACCGGGGGCCAGCGGGGACGGCACGGCGAGGATCACCAGCGCGCCGGGGGAGTGCCGGTGTTGGCGAGAGAAAGGACGGGGGGGCCCGGGGACGGGAAGTGGGGAAAAGGGACAAGGGCGCGGGGAACACCCAGAGGGGTCACGAGAGTGGGAAAACGGAGAAAAGAAAGGGAAAGCGCGGGGACAAGCCCAAAAAGAAGACAAGAGGTAGGGGGGCGAGGCCACACCGGAGCGAGAGAACGCAGGGGCACAGGCGAACGAACGAAGAGCCGCAAAAGAGGAAAGGCAGAAGCAGGGCACGCAGGCCGAAAGGGAAACGAGCGACGGCGACGCGCCAAGCGCGAGCGCGCGCCAGGGACGACGCGGCGGGGCCGGAAAGCCAAAGAGAGCGGGGCAGCGAGAGAGGCGGGGAACCCACGCCAACGCGGGGAAAGACAAGACAGAGAGAGAGAGAGAGAGAGAGACGAAAACCAGGGGGAAGCAGGAAGAGAGAGCCGACGAGACGCGAGCGGGGAAAACAGGGAAGGACGCGACAGAGAGAGGCGAGACACAAGCAACAGGGAGACCAAGCAGAGACAGGCACAACAGGCAAGACAGAGAAAGCGGAGCACAAGGAAGAAGCAGAACCCAACAGAAACAAGCCCCAGCAGAAAGCCCAGAGGCACAGCCCCAAGAGACGCAGAAGCACAACGCAGCCAGAGCGCAGCACAGAGCACACGGGGGGGCGCCACAGGACCAAGCGCAGGCCCAGACAGGAGGGGCAGCGCAGAGAGCGCGGACACGGCCCCGCAGCACCCGGCCCCGGAGCGCAACACGGAGGGGGCGAGCGCAACCGACCGAGGAACCGCAGCGCAGCAGAAGGGGGAGCGCAACCAAACAGGGGACCGCAGCCCAAGAGGAGGGCAGCGGACCGCAGCCAGGAAAGAGGAACCGCCAGCGCAGGGAGAAACGGGGGAGCGCAACCAAACGGGGGGACCGCAGCCCAGAGAGAGGGAAAGCGGACCGCAGCCAGCGGCGGAACCAGCCAGGCGCAGGAAGAACCAAGCCGGAGCGCAACCGAAGGGGGGGAGCAGGCACACAGAACACAGAGCAAGCACAGGCAACCCACAGGAACACAGGGGGAAGGGGGAGAAAACGGAGAACAAAACCGAGGCGGGAGCCGGCACAGACGAAGAAGAGCCGAAGGGGGCAGACGGCGGCACCGAGGGCAACGGGAGACCAAGGCAACGAGCAGGCAAGAGAGAAGACGCAGACAACCGACGAACGGGACCCGAAAGAGCAAACGAGACAGAGGCACGAGAGACGGAGGCCGGGGGGACACCACGGGGGAGCGGGGAAACAGCAAACGGGGAAGCCGAAGCCCGAAGGGGGGGAGGGCCAGCGGGGAGCCGGGGGGGGGGGGGCACCCGCCGGCGGCCCGCGGGCACGGGCCGGGCAGCGGGGCCGGCGGGCAGCGGCCCGCCCGCCGGCGGCCCGCGGCCGGACGGCCAGGGGCCGCGGGGAGGGGGCGGGGCCCCGACCCCCACCGACCCCCACGGACGCGGGAGCACCAAAAACGCCCCGGGAACCGGGGGGAACCCGAAACCAGGCGGAGACACGGGACAACGCAAGGACGAACAACACGGAGACAAGGAACGGAGCAAAAGCAGAGAAACAGACGGCACAGAACCGAGCAGGCGGGGCGAAACAGAAGCAACACCCAAACAGGCGAAGGCCCACCCAAGAGACCAAGAAGAAGACCAGACGAGGCACGAGACAACCGAGGGGGCGAAGCACGGGGAAAGCAACAAGAACACAAGGCAGCGGCGAAGAGCAAGAGGCG